GTTTGTCAGGTATGCAAACATCTCAATATTAATCAGAGTAGACACACTGAATATGTTGGGGTCAAGCTGTTTCTGGATTTCACTCTTAGTAGCTGTTAGTGGTATATTGTGTGGTGGAATAGCAGTAAGTATGTAAACAACTAACTGAAGTATTGGGGTCTCGAACATAGTAATTTTTTGTGCTGCTTTATATTGTGCAGAGTATTTGAAATTTGGTATTGTTTCAGGTTCTACAAAGTTGAAACGGTTAGCAACAATATTGTAGATATATAGTATTCGACTTAGTCTATCTATATAGCAGGTAATCATAGTCTATTCATATATGTATTAATTGAAGCAACAAGCAATACACCAGCTATTCTCAATTCTGTTCTAAGGCAAATAATTTCAGGCTTGTAAAATGAATTTTTTTTTTTTGATGTTTTTTTTTTTTTTTTTGTTATCCTTATATAAATGGTATTGTTATTATTATTCTTATTATTTCTCTTCTTTCCTCCGTATATTCTAATTTGTCACTATTGTTATTGTTGATTGAGATATATATAATATACTATATATTTATGCATGTGCAGATTGATCATTATGCATATGATCATTGTGGATATTATACATGATGCAAGCAGTTCATTGTTGAGTGTTTTTGTCTACCTTGCCATTGTCAGGTAGGTTGCCTTTTTTCTGGCTATTCCTTTTGAAGCATCTTTGTTTGATGTGGTTTGTCCTCTTGCAAATCAAGCAAGCATGGACTCTTTTACAGACTTTTTCATCTGCGCAGTAACGTTTGTTCCAGTTAATACATATCTCTCGCCCATCATGGCACTCTGCATTAGGATGTGTATTCTGGCACATGTTGTACTTGTGTTTCTTTGCTGTAGTCATATTGAAGTTTCTGCCCTCAACTTCAATTTCCTGGTCTAGAAGAGTTGAGTCTCGATTCATCACTAATATTACTCTGCGATCTTCGTCATAGGACATTACAGTATAGAAACTATGCCTAAGACATTACTCACTGATATAGTCTCTGTAGGCATTAAGTTCATGCTCTCTGTTTTCATAAATAACAAGCACTGCGTCTATATATGACTTAAAGGCAAGTAGCCATTCTGAAATATCTGTAAATGCTGTATGTTGGGAGTGCCACCTTCCATTGACTGCAGTGTGGGCTCATCTTCTGCCTCTCTTATGCTTGATAACAGGTTTTTGTATGTAAAGTCCTGTAGATTTACATATGAACTGAAAGCAACTGCTTTCCATAATTTGGTTAAATATTGGATTTGAAGGGGAAGGTCTCGATCATTTTTTGGCCATCTGACCAATTCATGACCCACCAGATTCGTATACTTTCAGTTTTTGCTGCCTGGGTATTAGAGAACCCGTGAATATTGTGGATGCCTTTGAATTTTCTATAATCAAAAGATGGGTATTTCCATGATGTTGCTTTGAACAGACACAAGTCTGTAGATGATGTAGCTGAGTGTGTGCTTGGTGGTGTCGTGGTGTCCTGGCCTTGAAACGTATCCTTGGATGCCCTCATAATAAGATCATTTAGTATGGGAGTTGGAGGATACTTACCCATAGGTTGAGCCGTCTCTTTCTCTTTGTTAGTTGGTAGAGTGCTAGCAAAGTTGGTTAGTTTCTGTGGCTGCTGTGGTGGTGTTGTGTGCTCAGTTGGTGCCATGCTGCTGTGCAGTGCTGAGGTCTCAGTGTTGGCCCGAGTTTGTGTTGCTTGAACCAATATATTGTTGATGTTTGCCTGTAGTTGTTCATTCCACAGCTTCTGTTTGTCGAACTGGGAATCAATATACTGCTTAAAGGACCCGATAATCGACGCGGTTGATAAACAGATCGACTCATTAATGTATGCTTTTATTGAGGGATTGATATGTGCTTCCGGTCTTGGATTGTTCAACGCCGTAGCCGATGCTAATGTGGTTGGGGCTGGCTGTAGAACCGTGCGCAGTTCCTTGCCATTGTCACGTGGGTCTGGCTCCGTGTTGCTCATGTTTTGGTTGTAAAGGTATATCCGAATTGCGGATTACCCTTCTTTTTGTTGTGTGTTTTTTTTTTTTTTTAGGTTGTTTGTTTTTTTGTTTTTTTTTTAACTGCAGGCGTAAGCTTGAATGATTGAGTGGTCCTGTTGTTTATTTTGAGAAATTTGTTTGCCAAAGACTATTGTGTCAAAGTGGGAAAGAGTGTCGAAATCGAATTTTCTTTGTCGACTGTTTATATATTGATCGTGGTCAGTGGCTTATTTAATTACGTATTTCTTGCGTGTTGATTCATGCAATTTAATTAATTGATTACTAATTGATTCATTCTTTGATCCCGATCCCTGCCATTTGCCCCATGATTTGAGGGCACGGGTTATGGCACGTGGTGTGTAACCCTGACCAATTCTTCCCTTACTTTTCGATCCGTTGACCCTTGTCAACATGCATAAATGATTTTTTTAGCTGATTATTGATTAGGGTATCTCAAACATCTCAATCAATTAATTAAATAATACTCGAGTATCACAATCAATGATGACATTTATGAAATTAAATGCTTGAGCGTACTCTTTCTATTTTTTATAATCTTCTAAAAAACTAATAATAAATTTTTTATTTAACCATCTGTTGAAGCTTCAACTTCAGTTTCACTGGCTTCACCTCTTAATGATTTTACTAATTAAATTTTTGATGCAACAATAACAGAATCAACTTATGGAGTCGTTTGCGAAATTGCTTTGTGAAAACAATAAATTTTTTAAAATTTTCTTTTATAGGCTATCTATAATAATTCTGCATTTTCTATTTCGCACTAAAAGTATCATAGGTAGTAAGAAAATATATTTTTCAAAAAAAGTTATAACCTTCGTTATCCGTTAAATATAGAAAAATATCAGCCCAAAATCCTTCAATTTTGGGTCATCTTTGCTGAAAATTTAGTTAATGAAAAACGAAATGTATTATTCAATCCAGTTTGAATAAAGATTAAAAGATGGATTGCATTTATTACGTTCATATCAAGATATCGATTATTTGCTTTAAAAGCTTCGATCATCAAAAATAAATTGTCTATTTTTTTTAGATCGGATTGAAATTTGTTGAGAATACATTGTTTATCATGTAAAAAAAATGCAAAAGTAATGCTTGAGCGACCTTTATCAATGATAAATTTTGAAGAAAAAAAGATGGTTTGTAGCTCGCTGACCTGTTCATCGAATGGCAACTAACTTGGTTAAATTATTCAATTTCTGACTATTAAAAATTTGCCTCCGATCCATTGAGTGAGATACTTGAGAACATTCTAATTAAAAAATTACCTCTGATTCATTGAGTGAGGTGATTGAGAGCATCCAAAGTTAGTGATTTCTGCATGATTGGTTATACGTAAAAATTTCTTTTGCATTACATGTAACATATGTCTCTACAGATCTTTAGAACATCAACTTAGGCTGTTCTCAATCATCTAAATCAATTGATCAGATAATAATCGTGATGACACTCAACATCACAATTGATGTCGATATTTATAGAATTAAATGCTTGAGCATATTTTTTCTATTTTTCTTACTACCTAAAAAACCTAATGAAAAAAAATTTATTTTCAATCAACCATCTACCCAAACCTTTCTTCTTTACTGAGAAGATTTTAAATTTAAGTGAGTGAAAAATGAAAAAACAGTATTCATTATGGTTTGGTTAAACGTTAAAATATAATTGTATTTATATTAATGTATCGATTATTTGTTTTAAAAGCTTCGAACATTAAAAATAAAGTGGCTATCTTTTTATACAAGCTAGAAATTAAATGCAATGCGATTAACTTTATCAATTCCTGTTGTATAAAAACCTTCAATTCCGCAAAGCTTAACAAATCATTAAATAATACTAAAAAAAAAACTAACAAATATTCATGTTTTTAACTTGTATTTTAACTACAGGCCTCAAACTATCCTTTCACAGCATATACAGGTTTGTACATGCTTATATATATCCACTATTATTGTGTCGCACATCAATACATAGCAAATAAATCAAAAATTTAATCTCGGTTGATATTATAAAATCAATAAGACTTTGTTAACTGTTTAAATAATAAAATAGCTGCACGACGCAGTCGCGCTAAAAACCAGAAACGAAAGTAGTTTTTAAATTGGAAATACACATCGCTTCAAGTTGCAGATCTACAACGTAGTTTATTATATTAATGATTAAATTGGTAACGGTAAAGCAAGTCATGTCATGTTATATTTCAGTCATGATTAATAAAAAAAGAATCGGGCGTTAAAAGAATAAACACGGAGCATTCGAATATTATCAAAATCTGTTAGTAGTTTAATTTAAATTTTAACAAAGATGACATAACTATGATTTGATTTTTATTTAATTCAACTAATATCGATACAAGAAATTAATAAGTTTTTCGCATATATTAAATTATAAGATTGGTTTAAAATCAAATTCATTAAAATTAGGCGAAGTTATATTCCCGAATCTTATTCAAGAAACAGTTGGTAAGGATAGTGAGTAATACCCAGTAGCCAATGATAACTGATCTCTGATTCATCGCTCTCTATAATCTATCGATTCAAATGTTTGCTACAATATCGATATTAAATAATTTTTCAGATAATTATTTTATTTCAAACCCTAAATCGAGACTATTTTACATAACTGTTGTGGAAAAAAATAATTACTAATCGCCTATGACAGCGATTATTTCACTTAATCCGATTTAAGGTTTGGAATGAAATGATCAATACTTTGAATTTATAATACATCAAAGCAAGAATAAAATAAAATATCTTTTTATAAATTAATTGTAAGGATTTAATTTTACTCGCTTTAATTTTAATAGTAATGACTGTATCGATCAATAAGGAGATAAGTCACGTATTTGTTGTACAAGTAGAATTCTCTATTTATAGATACAAGCTTTATTTTAGAAGCTATCTTAAATTATTTTTCCGAAATCCTAAAATCCGAAAAAATCCCACCTGCCAATTTTAATATCTAGAATGAAGCCTGGTTCTTAGAAACATATTCATTTTTGCAGCTAAATTAATGCAAATGAAATGACTTGCATACAGCCCATTGATTCATAATAATTTAAAAAACAAACAAATGCCTGTCTGTCACATACTTAAGAACCTCAATCGGAGTTAACGGATGTTTTCAGTATTACACTACTGAATTGTCAAAACAGACTCCCTCAAATTTTGAGCAAACCGTCCTTACTTTATTCTATCATCGCTATGTCTTCAGCAAGTCGTAGCAACTATCCAACAAACAAATGTAACATCGGCAACTCCAAGTGCCCAATTTCTCTTTTTACAGACTTTATGAATATTCAAATGTGTTTACAGCAACAATATTCACGGCTTTTTGCTCCTTTAACTTCAATGCCGAAAATAATGAAGCATTTGTATATCAAAAAATTTTTAATAAAAAAATAAAATAATAAATAAGTATAATTACTTTTGACGTAAAAGTTAGGAAATAACAATTGTTAGAAGCTTTGCCCTTTGAGTTTTCTGGAATTTTATTAGCAATAAATGTTCCGAATATAAAAAGCAATGCAATAATTTTTTGACAACTATATTTTCGCTAAAGACCCATTATGTAAAGCAAAGTCTTTTTTTTTTACTCTATTAGTAAGTAGTTTTGGCCAATCAGCATTAAGTTTATGAAAAAAAAACTTTTTTCAGTGAAACGGCAACTCACTTGATCAATTTTTCAGCCCCTGACTACGTATCTAAAATTTTATTGATTTAAGTGTTTGAAAACACCCTAAAATATATGTCATCACCACTATACCCAGTAACACGTAATGTATTTCTTAAGGTTTTTTATTGTTTTTTCTAAACGTTTTCTATTTGCTTTTAAAAACATTCTATTGATTTTAAGATAAATACAAAGGTTTTCTAATGGTATATCAGTAGTTTTATTAATTATAATTATTGCTGAAAAACTTTTGGAATGACTTACAATTCTTTACAAAAATCTTCTAATACATTTGAAAAGATTGATAATTCTACCTACCTGTATATGAAAGTATTGAACTTCTGAATCATTTTATGTAAAAATTTTATAAAGTAAATTTTTAAAACAGTAATTTATTCCTTCCAACTATCTCGCCTTTAATGGAATTACTATAAAAGTTGTGAGAATTAATATTATGTTTGAAACTAATGAAATTCTTTGATCATGTGTACTATTAAACATATTATTCAATAAAGGTCAGGTAATTAAAGTCAATATTTATATAAAATGCAGTATACTAATGATTTATTTACAAGTATCACATTTTGGAATTATTATTCATTACTTGTAGAAGAATTATGTCGTACGTAATAAATTTCAATAAGTTTTTTATTCTAACTATTCTATTGCTATGGTATAGATTTTTAACAGAACAATTTCAAAAATTTCGTGTGAAATGCTGATCTGACATTAAAGCAATATTAACTAATCAGGTCAATAGTAAAAATATGAATCTATTTTTACTTAATTAATAACTATAATTTGTTACAAATATGTATGCAGACAGAAACAGAAAATTTTCAAATTTATGCCTTTAATGTGACAATATAAATCAACTATGAACTTATCACTATTGATATAACTTTTGTATTACTTTGACTAAATGTTTAATATCTTCTGCTCACTTCGGACAATTAATGTATTTTTATTTAAAGCATGAATTTATTTCCTTCTTTAAAATGAAAAAGGACTCTAAACAACTTAGTACACTTGGTCGGAATGATCAAAATGATATCGGTGTTAAGAAAGACGAAAAGAAGGCTTTTAAATATTATTTGAAAGCAGGAAATTCAGATGTGATAGGTAAAGTTGGTCTTTGTTATCATTATGGAATTGGAGTAGAAATAAACTATCAGAATCATTTGAATATTATAAGAAATCTGCTGATTTGGATAATGCTTATGCAATGTGTAATGTTGGTGTTTGTTATGAAAATGGTTATAAGGTTGATTGAAATTATAATAAAACGTTCTAATACTATGAAAAATCTGCTAATATGGGTATTGATGCAGTAATGAGAAATATTGCTAAACTTTATCGAAATGATATGGGTGCAAAGAGAGTTATTCAGTGCAAATTATTGATATACAAAGTACAGCAGATATTTATGGGTTTGGTGTTATTATGGCAGAAATGTCGACTGGTCAAAGACCTTTTGATGGACGTGAATTTAATTTAAAACTTGCAATAGAAATTTGCAAAGGATCGCGACCAGAGATTGCACCTGAAACTCCTAAACGTTATATCGAATTGGCTGAGAAATGCATGAATTCTAATCCACAAAAACGGCCTAGAGCTGAGAATGTTTGGTGTGGAATAGATGATTGGCTTAAGGGGATAGCTAGTTCATATGATTATGAAATTAAAAAGCAATTCTTGGATGCTGATAAAGTTATTAAATCATTACCGATACCAAAGCATTCTGATGAAATGTACACTAGCAAAATTATTAGCACGAAATTAATTTCAACGGCGATTAAAGGTATTTATATTTTAACTAATATATTAAAATTATGCTTTATTAGTTATTGATTTATTTAAAATTAATATTATTTGTTTATTTAGATTTGGCTCAATTGATCCTGCTCAAATTAAGCTTGATTAGTGATTGGACCCGTTTAAAAAAACGTGACCCGGGTCACCACCCGGGTGATTAACGGGTCAACATTATGAATAATGTTGTCGAGGTAGGATTAGTGTTCCGCACAAAAGGATCCGAATGGATCCTTTTGTGCGGAACACTAGGTACATTTTAAAGTACTTTTTAAACACGACTAACAAAAAATCACCGCAAAAGCCATTTCTAACTTTGAACTAACGTCAATATTCCTCTAAATCATCTCACCCCGACTTATAGAATATACCAACGCCTATTGGACCACTAGAAATTATACTGTCGAGAAGGTAACTGGAAATGTTTCCGTCCAAAACTACTTATTACGTTAGATTTAAATACCTTCTTATTGCTAACTCATAGAAGGACATTCGTTTGATTGGTTGATGTAAATCAATTATCCGGGTAACTTATTTATACACTTTAAAGTACTTTTTAAGATGAAACGTTTCACTAACAAAAAATTACCGCAAAAGCCATCTCAAACTTCGAACTAACGTCAATATTCATTGTTCAAAATAATCTCACTACCGACTTACTTTACTTAGAAGACAGAATATACCAACGCCTGGACCACACGAAATTATACTGTCAGAAGGTCCAAAACTACTTTATTACGTTAGATTTAAATACCTTTTTATTGCTAACTGTTTAAGTTGAATAAGCCAAAGCTCTTTAATAATAGAAGCCCGGGTTTAATATTTAAATTTGGTCGGTTTTTGTAGTAATTTGGGCTTAACAACCGTAAATTAGAGTTTAATTTATGTTTGTAGATTCTTTAATAAGTTGGAATAAATATAACATTTACCTACTTTACGCGTATCTATCTGCTCTCTATAAGTTCTTTTGCATGTATTTATTAGTTTGCTTTATATGGTGCTTTAATTCGTTTCTAATAGTATTAGAAGATAATTTTTTTAAAAAATTATATAATTTGATTGGTTAATTATCACCAAAATTAACCAATCATATAACCGATAACAGATTACAATACACACGATGATAAAAAAGATACTCCATGTTAAAAAGATACATAAGGGTTGTAAGTTTTTTTTTTCACCAATCATATGAATGTCTTCCTATGATGACTGATGGTCAACCCACGGGTCAACCCGCGGGTCAACCACCCGGGTCACTACAACTCAATACGGGTCACCCGACCCACCTGCGGGTGACCCGGGTAACACCCACCCGGGTCCAATCACTAAGCTTGATATTACTGATTGATGTTTAAAAGCTTTGGTGTATACAAATAATAATTTATCTTAACTATTTTATATTTTGTAAACAGTAATAATTAATTTGTATCTTTTTAATATAGTGTACAATTTTAAAATTTAAAATTATATAACTTGTTTTATTTTAAAATCTATTTTTGTATTTATTTTTTTATTTTTATATATTTTATTATTAAAAGATTATTAAATATTTAAATTTTAAATATTAATTCTATATTTTTAAATATATTTTAAATAGCCAATTTTATTTGTACACTATATACTGTTGAACCTCCCAAAACCGATATGCGCGGTGGACAGATTTTGTATTAGAAACAGCTATTAGATTTATATAACAAAGACGGACTTGGTAGACTAATTTTTTATCATATTTGATTTTAAAAGAATCAATTTTGGAAAATCGACAGTATACTTATAAACTAATTATTTGGTATAATATATATCTATTATATATTAGATTTTTTAATTAATTTAAGCAATAATTTTTTAATTACAGTCAAACCTCTCTATAATCACACATTTGGGATACAAAAAAGTGTGACTGTAAAGAAGTGTGACAATTATAGAGGTCAAATATATTATATTTAATGATAGTTGGTTTCTAAAAAATATGCTTATATAGGAGGTGAATATAGAGAGGTCTGACTGTATTTTTAAATTTTAAACAAAGTTATTTCAAATTTTACAAATTAATAAAACTTGAAAATATAGTTACACTCTTATATGAGCACTTTTATCTTTATAAGCACTTATTTTTTAAAGGCAACTGCTATTAAATATATAAAATAGCTTTCTATATATGTATACTTTTTATAGATTCTAATAGTGTAATTATATATGAATACAATTTTAGCTTTAAAATTTTAATTATAAAATAGTTTTTGAAATTATAATTGGTACAGTCTTCATCCTCTATAGTCGCCTTCTCTATAGTCACAACCTTTATATAATCACACAAAATTTAATTACCATTTATTTTATATGTAAAATACTCTTATATAATTACAAATAGCTTATAATCACTATCGCGCTTTTTAGAAGCCTTTTAAAATTTTTTTCTAGTAAAAATACCTTCAAAAATTAAGTTGTTTGGCATGACAAAGTATATATATTCTGAAATTTTTATGCAATTTGGATAAAGTTTTATCAATTCGTCTTTTTCATTATACATTAGATCATATAACGTAAAATAAAAAGGGGAATTAATAAAAATCCCAGAATATATGTGTTTTGTCATATCGAACAACTTTACTTAATAATTAAAAGTCAATAAACTTAATAGGTATAACACTTATACCCACCCTACGTTATTACTATAATAGTCTGTGGGCATTTTAGGGTATAATCGCCAGATCCCCAACGCCGACCCCTTGATGACTATAACGCGTCCCAAATTAAGAAGTCCAGTCTACGCGTCCCTTAGGTGTATTATGAATTATTCATGTTAACACCAGGCTTTCTATTATTATCATCAATCTGCTAGCCCGATGCAGAGTTGATAAAGAAATATGGGGATTGATCTTTCAGGTGTAAGTCTTAAAGTAGGTGAAGACGCGAGGGGAGAGTTTAATTGGTGTTGATGGAAGTAAAGTCATGTCATGGCGGAAGGAAGTTATTAGATGAATGTCTTGGGAGAATTCTAGTTAGCCAACATGTATAAAAGACCAATGTATTCGCCTTACTGTATATTCAGGCTCTATCTGAGTGATTCTTAATTATATCGTATCTTTTAGCTTCTATTATTTGAATTATCTTGTATTGTTTATTATATTAGATTATGTGTATCTATTTACTATTGAATTTATTTCTATTATACAAACACATCCTTTATATTCCTATTCCCCGAATTCCTATTACATCCATTAATCCCATCCAGATAACTTTATCTATTGTCTTTATTTATTGTTCATTTTGTTTACTATCCTGAGACTATTCTGGCGAATGGTCTGATGCTTTTCTTTTGATAGTAACAATGTGATACATCCTAATATGAAAATGAGGTATAACTTATTTTATCAAATCAATTTTTAAGCCGCTTCGCTTTTTTTTTTTAAAAAAAAATTATGCATATATACTAATAGACAAAGTGAGAAATAAACCAAACAAAAAATGAACATAACTTTTGCTCATAGTGTCGCATAAAATAATGTCTCCTTTGTAGAACGAAATGCATAAAATATAAGATGACTGTCAGTTATTTACGTTCAGTATGAATTATATAAAACTTGGTTTAACAACTGAGCAGATCATACAAAATGTCATGTGGAAGAATGACCAATCAGAAGAACGTATTTGCGCACACCATTTCACTCTTTAAGTAACCATACACTTTGTCGCATTCCGTTCCTTGTGTTGTCAAAATGTATCATAATATTTTTTTCTTCAAACTTCATGTTAATAAAAAAACACTTAAAAGCATAACTAAATTAAAACTAATAATAAAACGTGTGGTTATTTTCGCATAAGATCACAAACAATTAAATTTTAAGAAAAACATCATGATAAAATGTGAGTTATATTTAATTATGATTCTTCAAAACAAACCTCGGTACTTTAATTTGCCGAAGTCGTATACTTGAAATTAACGATAGTATACTGTATATTGTACTGTACATTTAGACTGTCTTGAACTTTTATCTTGTCTAGCTACATTCCAGCTGTTCTAAATATTAATTTTATGTTCTAAATTAAAAAAAAAGAAGTAATATCAAAGGATCTTCAGATTTTTGTCTTTAAAACACAAGTACATTCTACTCACTATGAGCAATTTATTAATGCAACAAATATTAATTTTGCCAATTAAAAGTTGCGTAAATCCTAAATGCACATAAACAGCTTAGATTTGGTTTATTGTATGTATCAGTATGAGTAATAATGTATTTTATCTGTACAAAATGGAAAAAAATATGTATAAAAGTTTTAATTAAATGAATAATATATAAAGCAGTCCACTCAAGAATTTGAGGAAAAAAATTATAATAATTAAAACTGAATGATTGTTTTAATTTGATAATTTAAAATAATGGAAGTCCCTACGAACAAGAATCCAACAATTTTAATTGTTGGAGCAGGTATAGGTGGACTTAGTTTCTATCATTCAGTTCGAAAAAATCTTGATAAAAAATTTAATGTTAGAATATTCGATCGTGAGACAAGTCCTCAAGGTCATTTCTCAAAGTTAATTAAATTATTTCTTGAAAAATAAACGTTCTATTCATCTATTCATTGACGTCTAATTAATTACTTTTATCATTTTGCCAAAAAAGATCGATGGCAAGGTTACAATATCTACGTTAATAGAAGAGGTATTACTTCTTTACTTTATTACACACCAGCTGAAGTTCAAGCTCGTCTTTCCGAAGCAATACCAAATCCAACCCCTAAGGAACATCATGCTATAACAATTGTCGATCATGTTGGGAGATACCTACTTTATTTTCCACAACAAAACTTTAAAAGCATCTACGAAATAGAACCTCTTAAACATGATTTTGCCGGTATGGTTACATATCGTAATAGATTAAGAGATGTTTTATTGGAAGGTGTCGATGTCCAGTGGGGTAAAAAATGTGTTGGATATGAAGAATGTGATAATGGTGTTTGGGCATTGTTCGAAGATGGAACAAGAGAATTTGGTGATTTATTAATTGGTGCTGATGGAATTAATTCACCAAGTATATTATACAGTCTTCCTCCCATATAATCACCCAGTTTGTCTAACACTTTTGGGTGATTATATAGAGGGGTGACTAAATAGAAGCACCTCTATATAATCACATAATATACAATAATATATATAATATGATTTTAAAAAGGTAAAATATTATTTTTTATTGATAAATTTTAAAACATCCATTAAATAAAAAAAATTGTTATTTTTACTCAAAATTTGATTATAGATATCTTGATAACTAATAATCTAAATCGGTTCAAATTTTT